CTAGACCATGATTTGTATGAACGATTCCATGCTTTTAACTCACTAGGGTCGAGTTTTTTTCAGGCAGGGAGAGATGATGGAGGCAAGTGGCAGCAGCCTCTTAAGGTGTACAAGAGACGAGGAAGAGATGCCTCTAAGGCTCAAGCTTTGATTTGGCATGCATTGGATGATAAGCAACTCACTTGGGACCTTGGATAGTTATGTTTTAGCCTTATGGGTCTTGTCCTATGGTTATTTTTACATGAAGTCTTTGTTGGTCTATTTTCTAGTTTGGGGGTATTTTGGTAATTTCAGAATTTTCTGGACATGGGTTCTCCAGGTTGCCCGTGGGTTCGTCCTGTGGGTTAAGTTGTTTAATTGGTTTTTGTTTATATATCTTATTGGGTGATGCTACTTAGGCCTATTAAATTTGACCAACTTTTCAAACCTATGTGACAGTCTATTAGAATATAACTCTCTCTCTCTCTCTCTCTCTCTCTCTCTCTCATGTCTTCTCTAATTATTAACCAATCATCTAAAATTAACAAATAATTAAATAAGTTACTAACGTAAGAAATGACTTATCAAAAGATTCTTAAGCTATATATGGTTTGATTTTTAGAAACTTTTTTTTTAAATTAAAAATTAATTTGGTTAAGAAATAAAAAATAACTATCATTTAAGTGTAAAAAATAATTATCATTTTAACTTTTGGACATGTTATATACATACGTATGTATGATTATTTCGATTTAATTTGTAAAAAATTATTTCTAAAATTATATAATTGATTATTATTTTCTATTACAAATTATTATTATATATATTTAATATAGTCTCAGTTTTATAAAATAAAATTTATATTAAATTAATATTAGTCTCAATTTTATTAAAAATTATATATGTCTGTCAGAGAGAGAGAGAGAGGGAGTGAGTGAGTGCGTGTGTGAGAATGAAGGCAGAGTTTTGTGTTGAAAACGTTAATTCGAAATACGCTTTTACATCGCAACAGTGAAAACGTGGTTTTCTTAAGAAAAAAATAAATAAACAATATGCACAGTGAAAGCATGGTTTAGAACCATATTTTCTTTTGAAAACAAACTTATGTTAAAAGCGTGGTTTGTAACCACACTTTCACTATTCATCACATTTTCGGCTCCAAACAGTGAAAGCGTAATTTGTAATAGCGCTTTAGCCTAATTTGGGAATTTCGTCCAAACTAAGTCTAGTTTAGGAATTAAGATAGTAAATTGACTTAATATGGGAAAAGCCCCGGAGACAAGTGGCAGCAACCTCTTAAGGTGTACAAGAGATGAGGAAGAGATGCCTCTAAGGCCCAAGCTTTGATTTGGCACGCATTAGATGATGAGCATCTCATTTGGGACTGTGGCTAGTTATGTCTTAGGCTTATGAGCCATGTTTTATTATTATTATTTTAGTTTAGGGTATTTTGGTAATTTCATAATTTCTAGACATGGATTATATGGGTTACCCATGGGTCATCTTGTGGGTCAAGTTATTTGATTAGATTTTATTTATGTTTCTTATTTTGTCTTAAATTAGTTTTGGAAGTCTAAACCATTATAGTAGTTTCCTTTTTTGGTTCTAATTGGTTTAGGAAGTCTCTTAGTTCTATATAAAGTCACGTAATGCTTTTAATTATTTAGTGGTATTTTGAAAAGATGGTAAAAAATCGCTTTTTTGCTTTTAACCAAGTTTTTTGGGAGTGATTTGGGAAGTTGGTAAACAGCTACTTTTTTTTTAATTAATATTTATTTATGGTGTCACATCACACTAAAATAACATCACCAAACTTAAAAAAATTACATTTTACCCAAACCCACAAGATATAAACATTGAGGGTACTTATATAATTTTCCAACCTACTTTTTGCCACTTCCCAAATGAGCAAAAAACGCAACTTTGCGTTTTGCTTAGCCACAAAACGTGGCGTTTTGCTCTAATCCCAAAAGAGCCCTTAGACTTGATATTTCAAAGAATTTAGAGCTTTTAGAGCTTCTTTATGGATTGTGTGATGCAATCAAACCCTAAGTGCGATGCCTAAGGAGTTCTAGGGGTGATTCCTAAACTTATCTTTTTCTTCTCCTTCTTTCTCTTTTATTTTCTGCACGTTAAACAGCCTAAACACTGTTTACGGGTACTTACACTGCCCCAAAACAGCTCTTACAGTGCTGTCCTACATCAATTTGTACTTTTTCATTAACTCGTTTTTGGGTTTTGTCATTCTAGGTGTGGGTACCATGTGTTTATCTTAATTGTCTTTTCACCTTCGGTGGTACATCATTGATGTTGTCTCTTCATTTTTTCCTACTCATTTGACACAACATTTTCATGTTAAACTATTAACTTCTTTGATTTTGATTAATTTCTCTATCCTTTTGCAGGTCATATCCTTTTTTAGCCTCATTATGGTCAGATATTGTGGTTGAAGTGATGTGTTGGGGTCTTTTTAGATCTATATGTGCATGTATCTCTAACAAAATGAGACGGAAAAAAGGTGTTTCTAACAAAGTCAAATACCATAGTTTTGTTCCTCAATCCTTTTCCACCTTTAACTTGATTTTTCAATTTGTTCTTGAGGCTGATTTTCAATTTGGCCGTCCTAAGTTTTTAAGCTCGTCAGTGGTGAAGTGGATTCCAACATTGTATGCATGTGTGCACACGTAAATGTACTCACAGGCTATATCTGATGCATATTTAGCATGTAATTTTTTTGACTTAAAGTGGAAGTTCCTTTGATGTAGTGTTCTAGCAATGCCTTCAAACTGGAGCATATATACATACATGCATGCCTTTGATTCTCTCTATGCAGGAGTTAGTGTATTTTCTGTCTAAAGGAGATGATCAAAATACTTTGGACTACTATGGGAACTTAACTGTGGGCATATGCATTAGCATTTAGCACTATATATTATTTTTTCTGGCTCAAATAGAGTTGTTTGTGCACCCTTATCTGATATTCAGCTTGAGCTAATGTTGGGTAGTTTCATTAGATGCCACATTATAGCTTAAACCAGTCATGAATATTGTGAACCCGGAGTTGTCAGTTGGTTAACTTGACAATATATATACACGTGCTCGTCTGCCCAAGGTGTGAGGTAAAACGCTTTGTTGATCTCACTGCTGAGGAGACTATTGATATGTGGCTTACAGTGCAGAAGGTTGGTAGTCGGCTCGAGAACTACCACAAAGCATCTTCGCTAACATTAACTATCCCAGTAAGATGACTGCAATTTAATATTTCCTAAATATTTAGTTAAGACTTTCTTTTTTCTTCTTTTATTTCTTCTTAATGAATTTATTGCATATATGGTTTTCACTAGTTAATAATGCATCATTCAGAATAAATTGCACATACTGATGCTCAACCTAGATTTTGGAAACTACTAACCAAGCATTTTGTTACCTTTCTTAACCCCTGCATAACAAAATTTCTCTTCCAAGGCCACTTCTCTCCCCTTTGATTGAAAGGACTTAATATTTTCGTCACTTTTGTTAAATGGGGAGCTATCATGATATCTGTCATTATGAAAATCATAGTAAATATATTGGTATGGAACCTTAATCCCCAGCATCTACCGGGAAGAAATTGAACTTTAATTTATTTAATATGGTAGATTGCATCGATACATTAGGCATCTGATTTACTTGTCCAAGATCGCACATCTTATTTTAGAAGACCAACCAATTTGGGGATGTTCTCTTCATAAGAAAGGACAAAGCAAGGGACTAGATCAATGTCACATGGACCACAACGCAAGCTCATTTATTGCATTATACAACTGGTAGTTATAGGTTTTACTTCCGTTGTCGTTTACCCAAAGTTGAGAATTAATGCAAAGGGTGAAGAAGAAAAAAAAAAAGAAATATTCTGACACTTAAAAAAGTGTAGAAACAGATGATTTTATGAATTGATCCACTGCATTTTATGTGTCAGTTATTATAATAGCTGCTGTTCATCCATTGATAGTGTATGAATTATGTCATCTAGATGTTAACTATTTGATTTTTGTTGGCACCTTAGGATGGTCCCCAGGCAGGACAGACTGTCCCCCATGTTCATATCCATATCCTTCCAAGAAAAAGTGGTGACTTTGAGAAAAGTGATGATATTTATGATGCTGTAAGACCAAATATTTCCTTCAATTCTTCTTATGTTGGATTATTTAGATTGTTTCCTTGAGCTGGAGAGATCTTAGAATTGACTCATCGTCTGGTTGTCATTCATTGTGTAGATTGATGAGAAAGAGAAGGAACTAAAGCAGAAACTCGACTTGGACAAGGAAAGAAAGGACAGAACCCTTGAGGAGATGGCTGAAGAAGCAGATGAATACAGAAGGCTACTAAGATGATCTCTCCATGTTGTTTCCTACATGTTTGGATGATTGTATTGACCTACTAAGATGCAGTTTATGCATTACCAGTATATGGCTTACTTCATTCATTATTATGAAATGAAGACGACATTTTTTTTTGGTTTGGAACCAGTTCTGTTTTGTTTAATCTAAGATGTTTTTGGTAGAATGAAGGAACGAGGGTAGGTAATTGAGATACTCTTGAATAGAGGACATTTTCTTTCAGCTTTTGCTCTGTGTTTTGCCTACACCTTGTTGCCAATCTTCAGTGGCCTTGATTTCCCACAGCCATGTTGATTTAGCACAAGATGGGTCCTTTGAACTAGCAGTGAATGTTAAAATGAAATTTTTAGTAATGTTGGATCCACAGGAGCTTTATGTTATTGAAACTTATTTCTCACAGTAAAGAAATCCATAGTTAAATGATTCTTTCCTTCTGATCTAGCAACCAAATGTATCTAACATAAAGCTCGAATGATGCTGCAGCACCTTTTGACCAAGTGTGGGGAGGATAGTTTTATTCGAAGTGTTTAATTTCCATTACAGGGATTTAACCTTTCATTGTATGGAGATATAGTACCTATACCACAGAGAAAATAACACCAGCAAAATTTGAAGCTTTGAAAATGTGGCACTTTGGGGATGTTCTCTTCATAAGAAAGGACAAAGCAAGGGACTAGATCAATGTCACATGGACCACAACGCAAGCTCATTTATTGCATTATACAACTGGTAGTTATAGGTTTTACTTCCGTTGTCGTTTACCCAAAGTTGAGAATTAATGCAAAGGGTGAAGAAGAAAAAAAAAAGAAATATTCTGGCACTTAAAAAGTGTAGAAACAGATGATTTTATGAATTGATCCACTGCATTTTATGTGTCAGTTATTATAATAGCTGCTGTTCATCCATTGATAGTGTATGAATTATGTCATCTAGATGTTAACTATTTGATTTTTGTTGGCACCTTAGGATGGTCCCCAGGCAGGACAGACTGCCCCCCATGTTCATATCCATATCCTTCCAAGAAAAAAGTGGTGACTTTGAGAAAAGTGATGATATTTATGATGCTGTAAGACCAAATATTTCCTTCAATTCTTCTTATGTTGGATTATTTAGATTGTTTCCTTGAGCTGGAGAGATCTTAGAATTGACTTATCGTCTGGTTGTCATTCATTGTGTAGATTGATGAGAAAGAGAAGGAACTAAAGCAGAAACTCGACTTGGACAAGGAAAGAAAGGACAGAACCCTTGAGGAGATGGCTGAAGAAGCAGATGAATACAGAAGGCTACTAAGATGATCTCTCCATGTTGTTTCCTACATGATTGGATGATTGTATTGACCTACGAAGATGCAGTTTATGCATTACCAGTATATGGCTTACTTCATTCATTATTATGAAACGAAGACGACATTTTTTTTTGGTTTGGAACCAGTTCTGTTTTTTTTAATGAAAGATTTTTTTGGTTGAATGAAGTAACGAGGGTAGGTAATTGAATAGAGATGACATTTTCTTTCAGCTTTTGCTTTGTGTTTTGCCAATTTTTGTACACCTTGTTGCCAATCTTCAGTGGCCTTGATTTTCCCAAAGCCATGCCGATTTCGCACAAGACGGGTCCTTTGAACTAGCAGTGAATGTTAAAATGAAATTTTTAGTAATGTTGGATCCACAGGAGCTTTATGTTCTTGAAACTTATTTCTCACAGCAAAGAAATCCATTGTTAAATGATTCTTTCCTTCTGATCTAGCAATCAAATGTATCTAACATAAAGCTCGAATGATGCTGCAGCACCGTTTGACCAAGTATGGGGAGGATCGTTTTATTCAAAGTATTTAATTTCCATTACAGGGATTTAACATTTCTTTGTATGGGGATGTAGTACCTAAACCACAAAGAAAATAACACCAGCAAAATTTGAAGCTTTGAAAATGTGGCACAATGATGGTCTCTCTCTTGAGAAAATTGTTGCTAGTGTTAGTTAATGATTACTTGCACCTTATCTGCTTAATATTAATGCTTATTTGTTATTTGTTTAATCCTTTTTTTTTGTTCCCCCTCTTTAATGTTTTGTAGAATTTCCCTCGTAGATCAGTGCGAGTAAAAGAAGAAACTATTCTCAGATATATCATTGATGCTGCCAAAGAGGGATGTGTAATTGATTAGTTCTGAAGACAAGTTCAAGCCTATCAAAAATGAGTTACCAGAAGAGGTGAGTTCAATGAATTAAGTAACCATTGTTACCCTTGAAACTCACAGTTAAACATATTATGTATCTTGCTAGGACACATCATATTTCAAATAACACGGACCAGAATTCACATTTTATTTCATTTATCTGAGTACTGATATCTGCTTTGCTATAGTAAACACCAAAACATTAACGCAGCAGGAAGATGAAAACTCCCTTGCAGTGGAGGCAACAGAGAGTTCAACATTAAACTGGCTTATGAACAACAACAACAGGTGAGTGGCTTACCCTGTGATGTTAAGAGTTACAAATTCTTTTTGTTTTGCTTGTTCAGCAATCTCTCTCTCTCTCTCTCTCTCTCTCTCTCTCTACAGCTCTACTTCACAGTCTATTTAATTTGTTCTCGGTTCACAAACTTGGTTTGAGAGCTATAAATAAATCAAACATTCGAAATCGATTTGTGTTCATCTCTTTAAAAATTTGTTTGAGATTGATTCCTTATGTAAACTAATCAAGCTTGAAAAAAAGGTTAAATCTGTTTAATTTTCTGAGCTTGATTTAGCAAGTTTATATACATTACAAAACTATATAAAAAATAAAAAATTTAAGTTACTTGAACTCTGAATTAATTTTTATTTCGATTAACTTGAAAGATAAATAAATTAAATTTGCATATATTTTTTAAGCTCGTTAAAATTTTAAAGGATAAATTACAAATGCACTCCCTGAGATTTGTTTAAAATACAGATTGCCTTCTGTGGTTTGAAAAATTATAAATACCCCTTAATTAGAATTTTTTGTTTAACAGAATTAACTAAAGAAATGAAATTCATAATTTCTCTCCTATACAATAATAAAATTATCTAGATTATTAATTGAAACATATTTTTAATATCATTAAAAATTGTTAATTGACTTGATGATTTATTAATAAAATGAGCGATTTGTTATGAAATTATCAACCTTAGGGGAGTGGAATGTAATTTTCAAAATCACAAAAACGATTGTATCTTAATCAAATCTGAGAGGATGTATTTATAATTTATCCAATTTTAAATAATATATTACTATCTGGTCTTATCTTCTATTCATGTTCAAATACTAACACCATGTTCTCTTCCGAAAGGGAGTCATTAAGACTAGAAACTCTTTCATGTCCAAGTTTCTCTGGTCTGACAAAGAAAATCAATGGTCTATATTTATTGTCAAAAAATGGTTAAAAGCATTAAAAGTGATGCTTTAATAGCACTATTAATGATGTGATAGTAGGTTTCGTCCATTGCCTATGTTTTTTTTTTTTTGACATTCTCAATGCATTAGTATTATTAGTGATTTTTTTTTTAATAATATAAATCATTGTTGTTTGTTGTCCGCCTAATTATAAAATTAATATTTGAAATAAATTTCACAATTCATAGTATTTTTAATTCTTTTATGATGGTGTGTTTGGTTTGAATGATTTGACATCACCCAAATGTTAGTGTGGGTGGTTAAGTTGTTGCTTTCAGTCTTTCGCCCTCACCTCGCAAGGTCTATATTTGATGACTTGTATTCGTGTCTATAGGAAAAACCTATTCATACCTAGAATTTTGCCTTATCATTGGATTCTACAGACTGTCAAGATCATCTATAACTGTTCTGTTGTCTGCAAGGGTAATGTCATTGCCTTCTAGTCCGTATTGACTATTAAGGTTGAACATCTTCCACTCTCCCCACATGCACATCAACATTGGACCTTCTACAATTTGCACATATATGGAATTTCAAATGAACCCAATTGTTTAGAACAAGCTTAAATTTGAGCTCAAATGCTTAAATCGAGTTGTGTATTGGAAGATCAAGCTTAAACTTTATAAATATTGAAACTCGATTATGTAGTACAGCCAAATTCAAATGCTATTTTTGACTTGAATCATTTATAATTATATATACAAAGGGCAAAAGGAAAGAGAAAGTCGAGGAAACACTAACCGAATAATATCATCTTTAAATTTATCTACAATAATAATAACATGAGATTGAATCTTAGTTAATTAATTTTTAAATAAATCATAATAATTTACGTCATTAAAAGAGTGATATTTTAAGAGTTATTACTATTTTTTGAAATGTTTTAATGATTTTCTTGTACTTGACCGGCCATTTAAATACTAAATACTGTTTGTTATATTATATTCTTATAGAATAACATAAAATGAATTCTTGTATTACATTCAAAGACACGTGCCCTCTTCCCGTCATTTACACATCATTTTTCTTCATTCATTCAGTCTAAAAAACTGTAAGGACTTAAAAAAGTAAATGTATATTATTCAAATATCTATCTATATATATAATAAGGTTAATTGTACGAATTTTGTTTAATTATTAGTTAATATTATTTTACTCTTATCAGTTTTAAGTTCATACATATTAGCCGCCTCAATTAAAAAAAGTGCACTCAACTCAAAAATTCAAATTTGAATTTTTCTAATCTAACAGTCCAGGTGCAGAAATAGTATGCCCATAAGGACATGATTCTACAAAATGACCAAATTGCCCAGCTATATATATTGTTCCCAAATCAAACCAAACCCTAACCAAACACACACACACTCTCTCTCTCTCTCGCTTTCGCTATGGAAAGCACTCCAGGACCAGAAGTTCTTATCAACGGCAACATTGTCTATAAATCGTCCCGATCCTCAACAGTATTTCATTGGTCATAGTAGGGATTGTGGTCATGAGGGTAGATTGGAGAGGAAATTGTTGGGGAGACCCAAGATCTCTCCGTTCAACCTCATTACCCATTTTACAGATCAGTCAACACCAACATCTTCAAACCCAGTTTATTTGTTGAATTTTATTTTATTTTTATTTTTGTTTGTAGTTGATCCAAATCTCTCCTTTCAACTTCATAACCATAGTTTCAGTGTTTTTATTTGTTCTTTTTTTGCTAGTTTTTTTTCTTCTCCAGATCTCTCCGTTCAACATCATAATTGTTGTTGTTGATGGTGATGATGAAACAAAAAAACAAAAACAAAAAAATCACAGATAGGAAAAAAAAATGATACTTTCAACAAATAATTGTTATTTCAATAACAAAGATTTAAATTTTAATAGATAAAAAAATAAAATGACTTTTCACTGATAGAGTTTAAACATATAAAGAATAAGAGAAGTGAAGAGAGAAATAAAATGACTTTTCACTGATAGAGTTTAAACATATAAAGAATAAGAGAAGTGAAGAGAGAAACAAATAGGAAGAAAAAAGAGAGATAGAGATAGAAACAGATAGAGAGAGAAAGTTTGAAAATGGTATAAATTTGAACAGATAGAAAAAAGATTTTAAAAATTCAACATATAGGTTAAAAAAATTGAACAAATAGACAAAAAAAAATTGAACAGATAGATAAAAAAATTGAATAGATAGAAAATAACTTGAATAGATAGAAAAAAAAAATTCAACGGATAGAAAAAAAAAATTTGAATAGATAATCAATGAAAAGTCAATAGATAAAAAAAAGTCCACAGGTAAGTTAAGGGGTAAAATTGAAAACAAAATGTCCTTCAAAATTAACAAAAAGACTTTTTACCAAATTATTTTACAATTGGTGGACCTCTCAGCGATAAAAAAATATTCACTGAATTTAATGCCTTAGACACTCTAATTTGGATTATTACCAATTTTCTCTTAAAAAAATTTAAAATTGTCCCGTATGACGGGAGTTTGGAGATGATGAAAGTGATATATTTTTGTAATTAAAAGAGTTACGAATTAATAGACAAGGAGGTAGGAATCTTGACGTAAATAACCTTATCTAATATTAAGGTGATATTTTTGTATAAAAAATTAGTAATCATCTTCTATGCTATTTTGATTTATTGGGTTTTGTACGGGGGCGAAATATCCTCTGCTTTCCGTACTCCTTGGACGTCAAGCTTCTCGTGGCAGCGTCTATCTCTGCAACTCAAAAATGGTGAGCTGTCCGGCGATGGTGTGCCGGATAGACCCTCCGACGATCAAGTCAGACCACTGGAGGAAGAAGAAGGCTACCAGAGAGAGAGAGAGTGTTAGTGATAGAGTGAATTTTGCATACCTCTGACGTTCCTCCTTCCTTCTATTTCTAGGCTGGCCATGCAGCCTCAAGATTGTGCGCGCACTACCTCTGCTGTCTTTCTCTGGACAGGTGACAGTGCTCGCCTCTCACCACCTTACGCGTGTAAAGGCTTAGTCCTCCCACCAGTACACACAGAACTGTCCAACGGTATTGATGCGTGCGTGGAGCAGATGTCCTCTTCCTCACGCCATTGGCCCAGGTGGCACATCCAACCGGAGTACCACGACCGGCCTATCCCTTGTGGAGAACTATCACCACATGCACGCAACCGAGCTATGTGTTGCCGGCCTACCCCTTTGGTAAAGGGGCCAAGGGGTGATGCTCATGACCCGACTGATATTGACCAGTTTATTGTGGCTTACTAATTCTGAGGCATGTTGGCCTCCATCCGTTCTACCCTCATCCGAGGTTATCTGGAATCTGTCCATCTTGGGTAACCGTTCAAAGGCATACCGGCCTTCGCCTCGTCCTCGGTTTAGCCTGAGCTACTCGTAGCCCGGTCTCGCCACTCGACTGCGTGCCCTGCCAAATGTCTACAAGTCACAGCTTGGCCGGGCGTAGTTCACGCATGGTCTGCCGATCTCCTTGACCGAGGAAAACAGATCCACCGGCCGTCTCAGTAGAGGAAATAGCGCGACGCCGTGAAGTTTGTCACAACCGGCACTATCGTAGCTCGGCCGCACTAACGGTGCAAATCTCCCATCTCAATTGCCCCTTAATCCCATCCGAGCTAATCGTGATTAGGGTTACCCCAGTGACCGAGCTAACGGTCCGTGATTTGCACTATTTCCGAGCTGAGCATGACGGCATCACTTCCAAGCCGAGCATGATTGCATCATTTCCAAACCGAGCGAGCCGAGCGTGATTGAATCATTTCCGAACCGAGCATGATTGCATCATTTGTGAACCAAGCATGATTAGGGTCAAACGGCGTCGCTGAGCAATCCCATTTGATCGGTAATTGCTTCAGCAGTCTTATCAATGGTCGTACAGCCGTACTGACAGCCGCGTTCTCAGTGCCACGTGGCCTCACGCCATTGGACCGTACAACCAGCTGTCTTGCACGCGCTGGAATTCAAACGGCGCAGCCGTTTTGGCCTTTTTCCCCCCTCTTTATGCACAACCCAAGAGTTATTCGAACTTTTCATTGTCCTTCTTCTTGATCCGAAAGCCCTAGCTCCCAGAATCCTCTAACCTCTTCTGTCATTACTGTCTTTGTGCTTCACCCTCCGTTTCAGTTCCTTCCACAGGCTACAATCAGGCTCTCGAGGTTGCATCCACCCTCGCATCTGCCACTGGTGAGTTCCATTACCCTTCCTCGCATTTTCTGTTTTCATTTCTCGAATTTGTTGTACCTGTTCTTCATTTTCGTGCCACTGTGCTCCGTGTCCTCTGCTTCGGACCTTTAAGGCTCTTCCTTTTTAGTCCCAATAATGCCACACCTTAGAAAAACTGGAACTGGTGGAGTGGAGGGGGCCTTCGTGCCCCTTGATTCACCAAGCCTCAAAGCCAAACCTCTGAACTTGATATGAACAGTTCAGATCTGGACTGATCCGAGCTAAATGCTCATTTAGATCCGTAGGTAGAGCTATGGCCGAGTAAAACTTGTTTGTGGCCTCTCGCTGAGGCCGCAATCGAGCCAAACACAATTAGGTCGGTAAATAGACTGAACCGGGCTAAAAGCCTGAAATCTTTACTTGGTGCCATGACCGAGCTGAAAGCTCGATTAGATCCGTCAATAGATTTGAACCGAGCTAAAACCTGCCTTGACCGAGCCGAAACGAGAACCAAATCAAGAAGGCTAAATCAGCCATGTCGTTTAGCCGAGGTAGAAGTTAGACCGGCCAGATACCCAAAAATCCTTTCACTGAGCAATTTCCAATAGGAGCCGTGCAATTTATGCCGTGCTAACCCTTGGGATTATTTCTTAACAATGCAGAACAAACTAGGACCGACCAGGAGAGCACTATCACTGGTGGAGCTCAAGGGCTGAGCAAAAACACTAACATTTTTGACCGAGATACAAAACCCAATAAGACCGAGATAAATGGGGAAATACCGATTTATGGTTAGCTCGCCTGACGCGATGGCAGAGTTTCGTAGGGAGTACAACATTCCTGATGACGTCGTCTTAGAGCTCGCCGAAAAGGGAGACACCCCTTGGGGAGATCTAGACCGGTGCCCGTTCACGGTAGTTTCAATAGTTGAAGGTGGACTTCGCTTCCCGGTCCAACCCTTGATCTGCGAATTTTTGAGGCAAACAAGGCTTTGCCCGACCCAAGTCTCCAACAATACGTACAAGATAATAAATGGGGTCGCCGAGCTAAACCGGAGGCTCGGTCTCAATCTCGGTCTGGCTGAAATTTTCCACCAATATAGCCTCAATAAGAATAAATGTGGGTTTTGTTGGTACCTCAAAGTGAAGAAGGGCCGAGAAAAACTCATCAAGGGCAACCCGGACAAAGAGGCCAATGACGATGACTTCTTGTGGGTGTCCGGTCGATATGAAGACACTGAGGCACCCGTACCAGGATGGTATATTATGAAAGATTTTGGCGGTGCTGGTGAGTAGTCTGGCTGACCGCACTATATTCTTTCTGCATTTTTTTTATTTTTTATTTTTCATCGGTCTAACACTCGTTTTCTTTTGCAGATAAGCACTTAGCAGCAAATTACTACCGCGCTAATCAGGAGGCCATTGGAACCTTGTTGCGCCATCCGGCCGAGGAACAAGAGTCATCGAAACTCCTCGGCTTCGAACAGACCTACCACTACACTGCACCACGCAAGAGCCGGGTTACCTACTTTCTATGTGTGCCATCCCCAGAACCAGATCCAAACCTACCACCGATCAGACTTGTTCCTCTCACCGCCGAGCAAGAAATGGCAAAGATCCGGGTAATCAAGTCCATGATCACCGGAGAGGAAGGCGGGTCCCAACCACTACAAGCAACCGGGGGAACATCCTCCACCCCAGCTGGGCAAATAGAAGGAGCTGTGCTGGCATTGGCCAGCGAGCAGGCGGCTGGCCGGTCAAAGAAAAGGCAGAGGAAGGACCGATCAGGCCAACAATTGGTTGATGAAGACTCGGCCGAACACGCCTCAACCGAGCTGGGTGATCAGACCGATCAACGACTACCAGGGCCATCCCAGAGCCCAGCTACCCCCTCGGTCTGGGCACCCGAATACAAATACCAGGGCCGGGCTATCACTGCCGCCGACTCGGTCTACGCCAACAAGGACCACTCGCTTGGTTTTAACATGACCAAGGGGTTGATCTTGCCTGCTGACATGAAAAAGCATGACGAGCTTTCCGACCTAAAGGTCCTTCGCTCAGCGGCAAAATCCATAGTTTTGGTAAGTCGTCAGTCTCTTTTTTTTTTCAAGTTATTGTTCAGTTATTGCTCGGTTGCCGGAATATTGACAATCTTGCATTTGCTTGCAGGCCGCGCAGAAGAACTATCTCGCCCACGAGCGCATGATCGCCGTGCGGCAGAGTCTGCGCGACGCCATTGCGGAGAACAAGGCCCAAAAGGCCGAGATAGCCAAACTCAAGGCCGCGCAAGAGGCAATTGCGGCGAAGCGAGATATCCTGAGTCAAAAAGTTGACCGAGCTGACGCGAACAAACAACGGGCCGTGAAGTCGTCAAAGGCCAGGTACCTCGCCGAGCTAAGGAAACTGCGCGATGCGCTCAAGGCAGAGAAAGACAAGGCTGTGGATGACGCCGAGGACAGGGGCTACAGGCTCTTGTAACATAGGTCCCTTGTGCTGGAGGACTCTAAACTTGAGCAGCACCCAAGTGTTAAAGGGCTACGGGCTCTTGTAACATAGGTCCCTTGTGCTGGAGGACTCTAAACTTGCGCAGCACCTAAGTGTTAAAGGGCTACGGGCTCTTACTTGGTCTTGTTTTGCCACTGGCGGTTTACCGCGTGGGTCTTGTAAGTAAGTAAGTTTTGAAGAACCAAGGTTATGCCGATGTTATGTTATAAGATTTGACGTATGATAAGTATGCAAGTTTTGTAAGATCAAGTTTGATGAACAAGATTTATCTCATGTTTTGTACAAGCTATGATAGGTATGGTTTTGACGAAGATATATTATATATTGTTTTGAAAGACCTCGGGAATCATTCATTTAACCCCTTTATTACTTATACCATTCACTGAGTATCCAAGCTCACCCTCCCTATGTATATATGTAAGTAACAAGCAAGAAGTCGGCTACGCTGAGATGTGTGTTTTGCATGTATGTTTATGTCAGCCGTAAGGATGTCGGCAATCATGAAGATTATGTTTCATGATTTTTGGTTCGAGTGTTTTTGTTTATGTCGGCAATTTTTGAAGCTTATGCATTTTGAACATGTCGGCTCGAGAAGCCTTTCTCCAAGATGTAATATATATTTTTGTACTTCATTTCTATTTGTATTCAAGTTGTAAAGCTATGTAAAGATGTATGCCATTTCATTTGACTTATGCACTGCTCTTATGGACCACTTGTATTCTAGATTATTGCTTCCGCACTTGTGAGCCCCCTATATCTATACTCTGATTGTGTGTGAATTTTGGAAGTTGGCCTTCGGTAATCTCGGATTACTGGCCATCACGGCACCAAACTACTAGGGGCGGTTTGGGGTCGTGACACCACAATTGTAATGCCATTTCCTCAATCAATGAAATTTGAACTTTTTGCCCACTAATCTTCTCTTTTTGTTCGGTTGCAACGTGCAAAATGTCCTTAAACGTGTTCAAATGCAGCTCGGCTCCTTTGAAATTTCAAATGCACCTTTTAATTTGCCGAGCAAAATCTGCTCGGCTCTAAATTGAGGGCTCATGTATGGGGCCGAGCAAAATCAGCTCGGCCTTAACGGGTTTGCAAACTTTATAAAATTCCAGTACTTCAATGTGACCGAGCAAAAACCGGCTCACCCTTTTAGTTGGGTAGATTGCCAACATTTCACTTCTGCCGAGCAATGTCAGCTCGGCTTATCATTAGTTAGACAAAACACCAACATGCCAAATTGGGCCGAGCAAAGTCAGCCCGCCCGCTACATTGGGCAAAACACCAATGTTTCATTTAAGTTGGTCAAGTCGCCAACATTCCAGTTGGCCGAGCAAAACCCAGCTCGGCCCTTATGTGAATTGGTTCATTCGCCAATCATTTCTTTGGACAATGCACCAACTATTTGTGTGGTATGTTGCCATTCCGACGAGAGGAGATTAGTCTGGTCCTATTCAGGTCGATCTCCTTGCCCCTGGCACCCATAATTGTCTTGTATCCTTGCGATGTCATTGTACAGAGATGTAATACCAAACAACGAGAGGGCTATTTTTCATTACAAAATACTGTGCTATCTCTTACATCAAAATGCCAAGAGGCTCAAAGTTACATAAATCTAAACAACAAAAGCGATTACATCTTAGAAGTAAAAGACCTTAAGATTCGCTGCATTCCAAGGTCAGGGGACAACCTTGCCATCCAAATCTTCCAAATGGTATGCCCCTTTGCCGGCAAGACCAATCACCTTATATGGTCCTTCCCAATTTGCACCGAGCTTTCCTTCGCCAGGGACCACCGTGTTGCCAAGCACCTTTCTTAATACCCAGTCCCCAATCTTGAATAGCCTGGGGTGCACAGCCTTGTTGTATTTCTTGGAGAGTTCTTACCGATAGGCCGCTATGTGGATTAATGCCTGCTCCCTCCTTTCCTCGGCAAGGTCTAGCTCTAATGCCACTGCTTCATTGTTCAAATCTGGCTGGAAGCTTTCGGATCGGATGGTTGGCATGCCAATTTCCAGCGGGATAACGGCTTCCATGCCATAGGCCAAGGCAAACAGAGTCTCTCCAGTCGACCGTCTTGGCGTAGTGTGGTAGGCCCAGAGTACGCTAGGGAGTTCTTCAACCCACTTCCCCTTGGCCCTCTCAAGCCGCTTCTTCAACCCGTCCAAGATGGTCTTGTTCGAGGCCTCCGCTTGATCATTTGACTGCGGATAGGCCGGCGTTGAATTATAGAATTCGATCTTCAACTCTTCTCAAAATTCGCGAAAGAGTTTCCCATCGAATTGAGTGCCATTATCTGAGATGAGGGCCTTGGGTATACCGAAGCGAGTGATAACATTTTGCCAAACAAACTTCTTCACATCCTTTTCCTTTATGGTCGCCAGTGGTTCAGCCTCAACCCACTTTGTGAAGTAATCAGTGGCGGCGATGAAGAATTTGCGATTGCCCGGGGCTGCTGGAAGTGGCCCCACTATATCCAATCCCCAGAGTGCGAACGGCCAAGGACTTGTAAGGGGGAGCAATTCTCTCGCTGGTCGGTGGATCTGGTGAGCAAATTTTTGGCACTTTTCACATCGGCGAACATATTTCTTCACGTCTACCTGCATGCACGGCCACCAATAACCTTGGGAAATTGCTCTGTAAACCAGTGACCTACCCCCAGTATGGCTGCCGCAGATGCCTTCATGGATCTCATAAAGGAAGGCTTCCACCTTAGCAGGGTGAACGCACTTCAGATACGGCCCAGTAAAAGACTTCTTATATAAGGCTCCGGACGGGGAGAGCCAAAACCGCTCTGACTTGGCCCGGATCTTGTTGGCTGCCTTCTTCTCTTCTGGTAGAACTCTATCTTTCAGGAAGACGATGATGGGGTCCATCCAGGAAGGGCCCAAGTCGGCACAGAGCACCTCGGTCATTTCCAGTTCCTCAATGCTTGGCCGAGGTAAAAATTCTATCATCAAGGGGTTAGGAAAAGCTGTCTGGGCAGAAACAAGTTCGGCCAATTCATCAGCCGCGCTGTTTTCCTCGCGGTCGATTTGTTCCACCCTTATTGCAGCGAACTTCTTGATCTCTGCGCATATCAGCGCCTGATACTTGGCCATTCTTTCGTCCTTTGCCTCATACTCCCCCGAGACCTAATTGACCACCAGCTTGGAATCGCTGAATACCATCAAGGCTGATGCCTTCATTCTCAATGCGCTTCTTAGCCCGGCAATGAGGGCTTCATACTCCACTTCGTTGTTGGATGCTGGGAAGCCGAGCGTAATTGCCTACTCGATAATCAGCCCGTCCAGTGAAGTCAGTACTAGGGGTGGGCAACGGTTTATCCGAACCGCTCAAACCGCCCAATCCGCCCAACCCGCATATAAGTGGGCGGTTTCGCAAACATAATGCGGGCGGATGCGGTTTGAAATATGATAAATTTGCGGGTTGCGGGCGGGTCGCGGTTTAAACCCGCAAACCGCAAAAACCGCCCGCACTTTAATTATTATTATTATTATTTTTTTATATACCAACTTTGTAACTTTTACAGGAGCACCATTATATTCTCTATGACACTAGGATCCTTATTTTTAAGTATTTCTCAACTTTCTTAATGCCGTAGAATTATCAAGTCCTAAACTTGGTTTCTTATATGATTTTCATTGGTGATTCATCCACTTTTTCCTAATAAAATTTTTCTTCTAATGGTCGATAGAACTTATAGTTTGATTATTGATTACTGAACTGACAATTCTAATTGAGTACAACCTTTAATGCATTGATATACATTTTTTTCATAGCAAAAATGCTAGTGTAGGGTTTCTTTGTTTTGGGTACTTTCATTTAATGCATTGATAGTCAATTTTTATTTGTAAACTCATCAAAAAATTGTTATCACAAATATATAAAAAGAATCTGATGCCTAAATTCGCTGGAAAAAAAAAAAACTCGAAAATTAATTTTTAAAGAAAAAGTGTAAACCGCAAACCGCCCGCAACCGTCCGCACATTTGCAAACCCTATCCGCACAAACCGCAAACCGCACTGCGGGCGGTTGCGGGTTGACTTTTTTCCAAACCGCATAGATGCGGGCGGGTCAAAACCGAACCGCAAACCACACAAAACCGATCCGCGAACACCCCTAGTCAGTACGATACCCAGCCCAGCACCATGCCTGTTGGATGCCCCATCAACGAAGAGCTTCCACATCTCGCCAATAAACAGCTTCCAGCAATCAGAGGGGTTCTGGGAGCTTCTCAATTCCAAGTCTCTGATCGGTTCATTCTGGTCTCTTTCCTTGCCTTGATTGAGCACGTCTTCCAAGATGTCACCCGGCTCTTCTAGTGCGGTCGCTCTTCGGCCTTCTTCCGCTTTTGAGCCAACACTCGTTTCTATCGCCAGAACCGTGGATTGTGCTAAATCCGCACCAGCCAAATCAACCGGGCACACTGGATGCGTTCCAGGGGCGAATTCCGCCACAAAGTCTGCAAGAGCTTGAGCCTTGATTGCGGTGCGCAGGTGGAATTTGATGTCATATTGTCCTAATTCCACGGCCCATTTCAAAATTCTTCCAGTGAAGTCTGCCTTTTCAAAAAGCACCTTGAGCGGGAACTCGGTTAACACAACTATTGTATGGGCATGAAAATAGTGTGCCAGCTTTCTTGACGCCATCATTAGGGCCAGGGTCAATTTTTCCAAGGGAAGATATCTCGTTTCGGCTGGGAGCAGAGTCTTGCTTACATAGAAGATCGGTAGGTGTTGGATGCCTTCAGCACGGACCAATACCGCGCTGACCGCGTGTTGAGAGACAGCCAAGTAGAGGTACAACTCTTCGCCCGGCTGAGACGTGACCAAAATAGGGGCTGAGGAGAGATATGCTTTCAGGTCTGCTAGTGCGCGGTCGTACTCATCATCCCAGAAGAACTTGGACTTCAAAGTTTTAAAGAAGGGCCTGCAACGATCCGAAGACCGGTTGATAAATCTGTTCAACGCGGCTGCCATCCCGGCAAGATGTTGCACGTCCTTCCTGGAGTTAGGACGCTCCAGCTCTTGTATTGCCTTGATTTGTGATGGGTCGGCTTCGATTCCCCGGTTCATAAC